ACATTTTGTGAGATGCTCATAGTCCCCTGGAACTAGTTGACCTAGTAGGACAAGGAGCAAAAACTGTCCTTTATGTCCCTCCTACAAAATTGGTATAGGCCTCAAAGTATGTCTGTTAAACATCCAAGAAGGTTAGTTCCACCAGTCTGGTACTTTTAATTACCATGTGGCATGTAGATAAAGCTTGGGCAAAGATCAATTGTTCTCAGATAAACCTTGCCTAGACATATATTTCTTGATCTGCTGTATAATTTATCAGTAGGTTGATGGACTAATATGGGTCCCTCTGTGTTTTAAAACTAGCTAGATATTATTTATCTCTTGTGTTGTCTAACCCTTCAATCATGGTTTCTCCAATTAAGGTGCACCCATTTTTCCCATTTCTCCCTTAATTTTACCCTTCTCCTATGGTCCCACCTCTCGTGAGCGCATTCTTTCCCTTTAATCCCCTACGTTCTTTGTATACCCTTCCCTCCCTCCTCCCTGAACAATCCCAATTTTTATCCATATCTCCCTTACTAATGCCTATTTCCTACCATTCTCCTCTTTCAGGTTATTTCTTTTCCTTTACCTCCCTGATTCCTTTCCATCATCCTGGTTCCTGTAGTTATGTCTGGATACATACTTACTTATCAGAATTTGTTGCTAGGATCCACATATGAGGGGGAGCATACACCAGTTTTTTTTTTATGTTTTTTTCCTGAGTCTTCACTTAGTACAAAAGTTTCTAGTTCCATCCATTTCCATGCAAATTTCATGATTCATCTTTATTTACTGCTGAGTAAAACTCCATCATAAAAATGAACCACATTTTCACTATCCACTTGTCAATTGAGGGACACTTAGGTTGCTTCCATCTCTCAGCTATTGTGAAAAGAGCAGCAACAAACATGGATGTACAAGTGTCTCTGCAGTAGGATGAGTTCTTTGGTATATGCCAAGGAGTGGTATAACTGGGTCCACAATGCTTTCCACAGGGGTTGAACCAGTTTGCAGCTCTACCAGCAGTGGATGAGTGTTCCTTTTTCCCCACATCCTTTCCAATTTTTGGTATCATTTGTTCTCTTGATCTTAGCCAGTCTGACTGGGTAAGATGAAATCTTAAATTGGTTTTAATTTGCATTTCCCTAATTACTAGTGATCTTGAACATCTTTTAAGATGCTTCTTAGCCATCTTTATTTCTTCTTATGAGAACTCCCTGTTCCAGCTCCTTTTAACTGGGTTACTTCCTTTCTTGATTCTTTAGTTTTTTGAGTTTGTTATATATTCTGAATGTTAAATATCTGTAAGATATGTTGCTGGTGAAGATTTTCTCCCATTCTGTGGGTTTTCTCTTCACTTCTCTGGTTGCCTCCTTTGATGTACAGAAGCGTTTTAGTTTAATGAGATACGATTTGTTGATTCTTGACCTTGTTTCCTGGGGAGTCCACTTTAGAAAATCCTTTCCTATGCCTATATCTTGTAGGTTATTGCCAATGTTCTAAGAGTTTCAGAGTTTCAGGCTTTACATTGAGGTCTTTGATCCATTTTGAATTGACTTTTGTGCAAGGCAAAAGATAGGAGTTTAGTTTCATTCTTCTACAGGTGGAGATCCAGTTTTGCCAGCACCATTTGCTCCAGTACCATGTTGTTTTTATGACTATAGCTCTGTAGTACAGTTTAAAATCTGGCATTGCTCTTAGTGCTCAGGGTTGCTTTGGCTATTTGAGGTCTTTTCTGCTTTCATATGAATCTTAGTATGTTTTTTTCCAATTCTTTGAAAAATGTCAAGGAGATTTTGATTGGCATTGCATTCAATGTATATTTCTATTGAAGTTTTGTGTGTATTTTATACATACGTTTTAATCATCTTTCCACACCCTCTCCCATCTTCTGCATCCTCCCATAGCTCCCCTCCCACCAGATTTCATGCATTCTGTCACATAACAATAGGCCTATTGAGTTGTTAGTGTATCCAAATGTTCTGTAGTACTTCAGCATAATTTTAAATATAGAACAAAATGCAATTGAGGTATATGCTGTTTTCTATGAATAATCACTTGTTTGGGTGATTATCACCTTACTACATTGACTATGAGCTGTCATTGAAATCTATTGACCCTATTTGTTGTACTTTATGGAATTCTGACAATGAGCACATCTATCTGCATGAAAAAAGCTAATATGGACACTGTGCCAGCTTTGGGTTTTGCATTAATATAGTGCTTCTTTGCCTTTCCTAGGAATTGCTCAATTTATTTCAGCAATATTTTGGAATTTTCTTTATGAAGGTCTTATATATACATGTACATATATTGATACTTGCAGATTTACTTTATATTCAATACTCTTCCTATATTCATTTAGTACTTCCAGTCATCTGTCGATTACTTTTGAAACACTTAATTGTTTCCCCTACTGTGGCCCCAGGACACTTCTCCAGCCCTGGCTCCCAGAGGCCTCACTGTAGAGTCACTGAAATCTTTTAGCTTTTTTCAGAATTATCTCATGTATATATAAAGAGCATTGCAATATATAGTATAAGCAGACAGGTGTCTACTTTACAAAGCCTACTGTTCAGTGAGAACTAAATTTGAACCAGGACCTGCAGTCCAAAAGAAAATATTCAAGAACACAAAATTTAAAATGTTATAATTGTTCTTGTCATATTCAGAATGCTAAAGTGTGAAAGAAACATTATTCCACTGATATTTAACTACAAGAATTATTGATAAAGTACTATACATTGTGAGTTTTCTTAGAAAACTTAAATCATTTACTTAGATTACACTATAGCAAGGTGAATGTAACCCTTTTTCAAGGATAATTGCTCTTCCTAAATCCACTAATACAATGCTATGTCACAGTGCCAGCTTTCTAATTCAGTCTGAACACCCATATTTATATATATTTTAAAAACATCATCTAAATTAAAATAAGCAATATATGATAAGGAATAAGTAAAATTAACTCTTATACATAAAATAGTATGTTCAGAGAAGTGATTTTAGTTGTCAAGTGAAATAACTGTCCAGATTGTGCAGTAACAAAGTTCATTTTTTTACTGGTTATTAGTTTCAATATTCTTATCATAGTTTCCTATTGACTAATGTGTGTAGAATACTATATTAGATTTCTAAAGATTTCAAATCAATCTTTATATTGAAAACTAAGGAAAACATATAAAATAATATATAACACAAAGCACAGCTCCCACAGCAGGCACAGGTTAGGTTCTGAGGAATCATTAGCAGGCAGGCAGGAAGTAAGGATGCATTTCAGTGGAAGAAAAATGCATTTGAAGTCCATCATGAGAATTTCTTCAGTAAGTTGTTTCTCGAGCACCAGCTGAATATAAAGTCCTCTCTGGCTGTTTCGCACCTTTGTGAGATTAGAGAAATTACTTAAAGCTTCTGATGTTTATGTTTGTCATTTATCTAAACAAATGTAAAAATACTTCATTAGGATATTATGGGAATTTAATGTGATCATATTTATTAAAATGCTTAGCCAAGAGCTAATCTGAATCATGAACAGATATTTTCACTATTTAATTTTCAAAACTATGCCTAAATTATTTTGTGTTTCTTTGTCTTAATGGAGCTTAAATTTTATACAATGTATTTCTGGAGTCAATATTATCACCAGTAAGCTTATTATAAATCCTTAGGTTTATTCCCCAGCACCAGGAAAAAAAAATATCCCAAACTGATAAATTATAATCATCATTAGAGCAAAATTCAAGTATTTCATACTAATGTACATGAAAGTTTAAAAAGCACTAGCTTAGAATTATAGAAATTTTGATTTAAATTTTAGTTTCTGCTGCACATTTTTCTTACTTGGATATGAACAGGATTTTTTAAATGCAGGGTACTAAATCAGAAGTAAAAGTATGTTTCCGTAAAGCATTCACCAGGCCATTTACTGCTGGTGAAAATTAATCAAATTTATAAACTTCAAAGATTCTGTTTTATCTTCTGTAAAATCACGACCTCATTAACACATCTCTTCATAGTACATGACACTGTTTAAAGGTTTGTGTAAAATGACATATTGATAATACCCAAGCTCTGTACACATAATATAAGCCATTATTACAGGTTAAACATCCCAAACCTAAATCTAAAATCTGAAATATTACATAATCCAAAATAACTTTAAGCACAAATGTGACGCCATGAGCAGAAAATTCTACACCTGACTTCATGTGGCAGGTCCAGGTCACAACATGGGTGCATTGAAACATATAATATATGAAACATATAATATTATGAAACATAAATGAATTTTGTGTTTATACTTAAGTAGTATCCACAAAGTACTTCATGATGCTTATAAAAATATTGTAAAAGTCTAAAACCTATGGGAAACTTAGAGTACTTATCATCCTAAGCATTTTGGGTAATGTATACTTGTCCTGTATAATCTATGACTTTGTAAGGGAATCATAGCCAGGACTGATAATGAATGCATAGCCATGGATAGGTTATGGATATGTGATGATCATCTATCCATGGATAGGATACAGATGTGAGATGATCATCTAACCATAGACAGGTTATGGATGTGTGAGGAGTAGCTATCCATGGACAAATTATGTATGTCTGACAAGCAACTAGCCATGGAAAGGTTATGAGTAAAAGCTTCTAGGAACGAAAAACAAAATAGCACCTCCAGACTTTTATTGTTAATCATTTTTTATTGTTTCTTTGTAGTGGAAACAGAGGGAGGAATGAAGAGAGAGTGTTCTAAAGAGAAGTATAGTTTGGGACAATTTTGATATTTTTATTCTTGACTGATTTTTTTAAACCCCATTTGTTGGTTTAATTAATTGATAGTTATCAATTATAATATAAAACAAATGAATGCGTGCACTTGAGCTCCTTTTCCCTTGGGATGCTTCTAAGTAATTGCATTAGGCTTAGGATATGTTATTTTCCATGGACTTGGTTTGGTAGTTAGGATATGATGAGGAATATGGAAGCCAACCATGCAAACTCAGGTTCTTTCACCACAGATAAAAAGACCTGTGGACCTCACGAATTCCAGTGTAAGAACAACAACTGTATCCCAGATCACTGGCGGTGTGACAGCCAGAATGACTGCAGCGATAATTCCGATGAAGAAAACTGCAGTAAGTAATTCTTGCCTAATGACCTTGCAAGACTGCCAGCCCATTCAATAAGCAGGATGGCAAGTTTTATTTAAGTTAAGGTAAAATTTGAACTTCTCTGTCCTGAAGCTCACATTTTCATACATATATTCACATTTGGACAAGAATATTCAGAATAAATTGACCTGAATCTCAAAGGGTAGAATTATTGAAATGCTTGTCCTGGGAGTTATTTTCTTCAGTTCTCAGAATTGGTAGGAAAGTATCATGAGGTTTAATGCAGCCCATTAGCATGCAATGCGAAAAATCTTGATGCAAGTTCACACAATGAGCTGAATGATGTGCGGACGGCACAACACATATCATTTTTTAACGGATGCTATTCGTTTCATTTCAGTCTCAAATCCTTTTACACTACAAATTCACCCAAGAGCATCATTTAGTGAATTACCATTTATTCTCTCTGGAGTGGTGAACACCATATGTATTCAGGATGCTTTACTCTGAAAATAGAATAACACTATTATATCTGCATCCTGAATTTTTATGAAATAAATATAAAAGCAATAATTATCCAACAATTTATTTTCTAAAAAATGTGCCACAACGCAAAGTCATGGCAGTGTATCTGTGTTCTAGCATTAATTTCTCAGTAAATCTCTTTTCAGCAACTTTATACACTGTGGTCTAAGCACAAAAGTAATATAGCCATTTTTAAAATGAGAAAATAATCAAATTACATTTGTTACATATTTATATCTTGTTACTTTAAAAAAGGATTTGATGCAGATTAATAACAGTAACATATGCTCCTTGGACTGACACTATCCATTCCCAGGAAGAAATTGTCAAAAGCCACACAGCAATGTCCTCTATGAAGGTACATATTTTGTAGAGCGAAAATCCTAAAAAAAAAAAACACTTGGATATTTACCTTGCAATATATGCACTAATCTTTTGAATAACTTTCAAAACTTATGTTTCCTGTGCTTGACAATCCAAGTCCTTACAGACAACTATGAAAATGAAAATAACTATAGTTTTCCCTTTACACACAATCCCAACTGACCATTGCTATAGAAAGGTACAGAAAATTGCAGGAACTCAATAAAATTTTGGACTCATTTGATCAGAAGCAAAAAGTAAACAACATGTTCTCAAATATTTCAGAGATTAAAATGAAAATGTGTTGGAGTGATGATGGTATTGATAAAGGATAAAATTAAAAAGCAAAACATATATATACTTTATGTATCATTTTCTTAGATTTGTTTGATATGCTTAGTCAAACAAATATCATACAGCTATCTTGAGTGAAAGTCCATACCAAAGGATGCTGAGCGCATGGGAGGATAGACGAGAGAAAGCTTTGGAGACAACACTTAGTGGTGCTTCTCTCTCCCTTCCTTTCTCACGTCCTTCCCTCTTTCTTTCCTGTTTATAACTGGGGGATTGAACCAATGGATTTACACAATTACAAGCAAATGCTCTCCACTTTAGGTACATCCCCAGACCCCATTTTTATTTTTTTTTATTTTTGTTTTTTTTTATTTTTTGAGGAAGGGTTTCACTAAATTCTCCAGTCCTGCTCTGGAGCCAGTGTGTTGACCAAGCATCCCTGAATGTGTGATCTTCCTACTTCACAATCCAGTGTATCTGAGATCATAGGGCTATATTACCAGACCCAGCTTAGGTGGACTTTTGTTCACTGAGTCATGGAAATTGGGCAGAAAGTTACACTATTGCTCTAATAAGAAAATAAAGAGAAGAATGGCCAGACTCTGAGTCAGCTGGGGTTTCCCAAGTGACTGAACATTATTGTGAAGCCATTTAGATGTCAGCTTGTGGCACAAAAGCGAGGTGACAGGACTCTGACTCTCATTAGCATTGGAAACATCACCCTTAATTAAGATTAAAGGAAGAATGGCCATGAAAAATAGCCAAGTACGAGTGGTTTCCTTTTGCTTTATATCTACTCTAACGTTATTGCCTAAGACAAGCAATATTGATGAGATTTCAGCAGAGAAATGACAGTGGACAAGAGTGAAATATAATACAGTTGAGACACAGAAGAACAGCTGTCAGTTGAAAGAAGAGCCTGTGTGTGTTATTGTGCCAAGCACATACGCCAGGTCTAAGAATAAAACATGATATGTGTCACAATAGATTAGCATGTGATTCACTGGATGTGTAAGAAGTAGGAAGGGATCTGGAACACTGAGTTGCTCTTAACTTCTGGATGTTTGACAATTTTATAAAAATCAGCCAGGAGAAAAGGAAAAGTATAAACATTGAAAATACCATTAGTTCCACATGGACAAAAAGCTATCACTGAAGAAAGAAGAATCACCAAGAGATTAGTAATATAGAAACCATCCTTGGAAAAAATATTATATTAAAATGTCATCAGGATGTTTCTAATTTCTCATGTCAAATGAGTATAATGCATATTTATATAAACACCACTGTCTAAATATGTACTTACATATTGGGTATAGAATTCCTAATATGGGGACTGGAGAGATGGCTCACTGGTTAAGAGCACTGGCTTATCTTGTAGAGGAACTGGGTTTGGTTCCCAGCACTCCATGGTGGCTAACACTGTCCATAACTCCAGTTTCAGGGTAATTCAACACCCTCTTCTGACCTCCACACATTGCATGACATGGGTGCTTTGACACTTATGCAGGCAATATGCTTATACACATAAAATAATAAAAATAAAATCTTTTTAAAAAGAATTACTAATTTTATATTGGCATATATCTAAGTAGCAGCATACTGTTGTGGTTTATTTCAGTATTATTAATCACTAATGTACCCCTGATTTATATTTGGCAGTGACTGTTATTTATTATTAAGTAGCAAAATATGCCAGATATACTAAATCAGTCTTGCCTTTAAGAAGCAACAGTTGCATATTTAAAGTCACTTTTGGACTTTTTGTGTATGAATTTGATTTGGTGGATTTTACAACTGTTCATATGAAGAGAGTTCAAATGGAAGTGGAGCAATTAATTGTCAGCTGTGCTATAAATGTAATGTACTTTCTGCATTCTGACACTCACACAGAGTCATCAACAGTCATCAGTCCTCATCTGTTGATAGTTTCACTTGCTACGTGTTCATCAGGACACTGCTTCAGCAACGGTCTCTGCTCCACAAAATAATATGTTGCTGTCATGGGGGCTGGAGAGATGGCTCAGCGGTTAAGAACACTGATTGTTCTTGCAGAAGACCTGCGTTTGAATCCCAGCACCCACAATGGCAGCTAACAACTGTCTGTAACTCCAGTCCCAGGGAATCCTGTAGCCTCTTCTGTCCTCCGTGGGCATTTCACGACATGGGTGCACTTAACCTACATGCATACAATACACGCATACACATAAAATAAAAATAATAAATAAAATAATTTAAAAATGTCCCTACACGGGAATCATTTTGTAATCTGAATCAAAGAATTGCAAACCTTTAAGAAACCTTTCTGTCTTATTTTTTAATGAATAAAAACGTGATACTTTGGGGGCTAGAGAGATGGCCCAGGGTTAAGAGCACTGGCTGCTCTTGCAGAGGACCAGGGTTTGATTCCAAACATCCTCTTGGCAGCTAACAACCATCCATAACTCCAGATCCAGAGGTGCTAAAGCCCTTTTCTGACCTCTGTGGGCATTGCATGCAAGGATACACTTACACACATGCAGGAAATACACTAATACACATAAAAGAAAAATAATAAATAAAATATTTTTAAATGTGATATGTTCCATTTTATTTTCTATGTAATTGAGGTAGAAAAAAGCTATGTTATACTTTTTAAAAAAAATCTTTTTGAAGCAGGGTTTCCCCGTAAGTCCCAGTTGTCCTGGAACTCACTATGTAGACCAGGCTGGCTTTGAACTCACAGAGATCCGCCTACCTTTGCCTCCCAAGTGCTGGGACTACAGGCGTGTGCCACCATGCCCGGCTCAGATTGAGTCAGCTAAATATTTTATGGATTTTAAAATTTCAAGTAATTGAATCACATAGATTAATTTGTATATAGAGGCAAGCTGCTTCTGACTTCTTTGAATTTCTAGTGTTTTCACACTAAATTTATGTCAAATTATTTTATAACTTATTTTTATGTGACATGTATTGTAAAAATTCCCCTCTGTTGCTGACACCCACCTTAATATGCATTTTGAACTTGGTGTAAGTTTTAGTCAGTGCAGACTCTGGAATTTGGCCGTTTCTGCTGTGCTGTTGACTCTGTGACTTAGGAAGTCACTTTCCTTTCTGCAACTTCCGTGTCTTCAGTTTCATGCCGGTTGGTTCTGCAGCTCTTTTTGATTCTGGACTGTGTTTTTGCCCTATTGTTACTAATGGATCTGACCATTCTGCATGATGCTCCTATTTCTTGCTGTAGAATCCAGACAGAAGAAACTGGCACTCTAGAAGCTTCTTGGATACCAATCTGCTTGTGCAGATTTATCGAAAACCTAGTAGACTGTTACTATGATGATTCCCTTATCCACATTCTGGCTCAAAACATAGTTTATATTAGAGGTAATTAGGATGGTAACAGTCTCATAGCAATTCTAGGATGAAAAATATCATTCAGACTTCCCAGATGAGTTACATGCCAGGACCAGACATCTTGCTGCCGTACATCTATTTTGTGTGAACATTGCTGTCTGACCAAAATCTGAAAGTTGGTCTTTTACTTTATCTAGAAGAGCTTAAAGATATCATAAACAGTAAGATAAAAACAATTTCTTGAGACCTTCTTTCCTAAAAAACTTAAACTTCCTATCTAAGAACAGAGGAGGCATTTGTGCCTGAGCACATGCTCATGTGTGTGTGTATGTGCATGTGTCTGTGTGTGGTGTGTGTGGTGTGTGTGTGTGTGTGTGTGTGTGTGTGCATGTTTGGCATCATGATTGCTATTCAGAGGCACATGTGATAGTAAATTTTAATGTATGATAAAAATATGCAGAATTTCCATTTTTAATGACTAAACTTTTCCTTCAAGCACCAGCCTCTCTACTTCCACACTAGAGCAAAATAATGATTTAGGACAAAGACTCTATGAAATATGTTTGCTGTGAAACTATTAGACAAATGCCTCCAACTGACTGTGTTCATTTTGTAATCTTGTATCAACAACTTCTAAGTCTTCATATAGCAAAATGTGTCAAAAGCCTGTGAAACAATTTAGCAAATGACAAATATGTTTGCCTTTAAATAAAATGACGGCAAGTTAGGACATTTCAGGAAGAATTAATCCCACTCAGATAACTCTGATGCTCATGAACTTGAATGTTTCTTCAATGTTACTTATATGCAAGTATAAGCATATAGGTAAGATGTTTTAATGTTTTAAATGCACTCTTTATTCTTTTAATGAAAATATTT